CAAAGGTTTATTAAAGATCTGCCATATTAGCCAGACTTTTAAGGAATCTGAGCATCCGTGAGCTATTGGCTAATCTGAGCAGTGGCTAGATTTTAAGAATCTGAGCCCCCCGCCCCCCATAATGTTGGGAGGCAATTGGTACAGGTACTGTTATCTCCATTTTACAAAAGAGGAAACGGTTGCATAGAGAAGTTTAAGTGACTTGACCAAGGTGACAGAGTTAGTAAATGGCAGAGCTCTTGATCCAAGTCTGGCTTTCAGGTTCCATTGTGTCCCACTCTGTGCATCATGACTTCATTGATAGAAAGCTGGCTTTGGAGTCAGGAAGTCCTGGGTTCAAGGCTGAGAGAACAGAAGCTCTTTGAGAGCATAGTTTTTTTATTTTTGCCTTTGTATCCTCAGCACCCAGCACAGTGCTGAGTGCACTGTAGGCATTTAATAAATGCTTGTTTGCTTGATTGACTGTGTTCCCATTGCTTCTCAGTGCCCCAGGCTCCTTTGTAAGTCTATCAAATTACAGATGAATTACTGATCTGCATTAGTGGAGAAAATTTCCACATTGAGAGTACCTCACAGGGCCGAAATCACAAGTTGAATGAAAATAATAAGGCTTCAGATCTCTGGAATGCAAAGAAGTAATGGATAGAGCACTGGGTCTGGAGGGAGGAAAACCAGAGTTCAAATCCAGCCCCAGACATTACCTAGCTCTTTGACACTGGGCAAGTCACTTAACCTCTGTCTGTTTCCTCATCTGTAAAATGGGGATAATAACACCTACCTCCCAGGGTTGTTGTGAGGATCGAATGAGACAATAATTGTAAAGCACTTACACAGGGCGCAGAGTAATCATTCTATAAATGTTAATTATTATTGTTGTTGTTGTTTTTTACCATTCTGTGCTCTGGCCTTATGGGGTAGTTGAACAAATGCTCCAGGAGACATCTTCTGTTTGTGCCTTCTGTACTCGGAGGAAGTCTTGCATCCAGCCCTGCTGGTTGTGTCGTACAGGCCTGGGTAGGTTCCTCACATCGCTAGTCAGAGGATGGGGAAGGCCCTGGTGACCTCAGTGACTGTGTCAGGTGAAGGGAGGCAGTTTATATCCCAAGGGAAACCAGGTGATTTAGGTATGAAAATTAGGACACTGTGCGGTTGCCTGTTCTGTGTGATACTTAGAGTTTTTGTTTATAATTCTTCTCTGGTGTATAATAACTTTTTTAACAGAGGACTTATGTAATGGATTATAGAATTTAGAGGCAGGAAAGGCTTTAGAAATGGTCTAGTCCAAATCCTTCACTTTACAGAAGAGGAAACAGGCCCAGAGAGGCTAATTAATAATAATTGGCATATATAATACAGTACTTTAGAGTTTTCAGTATGCTTTTCATTTGGGCCACACTACAGCCTTGTGAGGTAGGTACAACAATTATGATCCCCACTTTACAAATTAGCAAACTGAGACTCAGATTTAGTGACTGCCCTTGGTCACAGGGTTCATAGTCTCAGGTGGGATTTGAATTCAGGATTCCCTGAGTCTCAAGTCTAGTGCTTTTCTCTCTGTACCTTCCATCAATTACTGCTAGTTCTGCCTAGACAGCAGCTCAGTGGTGCAGTGGATAGAGGCTGGGCCTGGAGTCAGGAAGACCTGATTTCAAATCCAGACTCAGATACTTACCAGCTGTGTGCCATACGACCAATGGCCACCTAAACATATGTCTAATTTTACTGTTTTCGTGTGAATGTGGGCTTGGAAAAGCAGTTTTGGTTTTGGCTTGGGGAAGGGACATGACTGCAGAATTCAAGTATCTGGCCATTTGTCATGGGATTTAGAGATTAGACTTGTTCTTTCTGGCTTCCAAAGGAAGAAAGGAAACAGGCATTTATTGAATGCCTACTATGTGCCTACTTTACAATTATTATCTCATTTGATCTTTACAATAACCCTGTGAAGTGGGAGCTATTATTAATCCCATTTTAAAGTTGAGGAAACTGAGTTAAAAGAAGTTGAGTGACTTGCCTAGGGTCACACAGCTGGCAAGTGTCAGGCCAGATTTGAACTCGGGTCTTAAGCATTCGATCTTCTGCACCATCTAGCTGCCTTCTAGGCAGAACTAGGAGTAATGTAATGATGATGATGATGATGATGATGATGATAGCTAACAATCATATAGTACTTATGTGCCAGGCACTGTGCTTAGCACTTTACATTTATTATCTCATTTAGTCCTTACAGCAACCCTGGGAGGTTGGTGCTATTATTATCCCCATTTTACAGATGAGGAAATTGGGGCAAACAAGTTAAATGACTTGCCCAGGGTCACATGGTGTCTTAGGCTGGGTTTGAATTCGGGTCTTTCTGATTCCAGGCCTAGCATCCTATCTTTTGCACCACCTACCTGCCTTCAAGGCTGAACTAGGAGTAGTCGATGGAAGTGCAGAGAGACAGATTCCTATTGAATGCAAGGAAAAACTACCTAAGAATTAGAGCTGTCTCTTACTCAGAATGAGTTGTCTCAGGAGGTGGTGTGTTCCCATCACTTGAGGTCATCAGCTGGGATCAGTTGATCCTTATCAGGGATGTAGTAGACTGGTTCCTTCTCAGGTATGAGTTGCACTAAATAATCTCTGAATTTTATGCTATCTCGAGACTTGGTAACGCTAATTCTCCTCAGTGCCCTGTCATCTTTATTTGTTCATCTTCATGATGTCTTATAACATTGCCTACCTCCTCCACCACCATCTCTCTCCCACAGGAAACCTATCTTGAATCCTCCAGTCCAGGGAAATTGTTCTGTGAAGTTTGGATTCAAAGGGCCAAACTTGAGGACCTAGAGGGCCATGTGTGGCCTCGAGGCCAGAGGTTCCTCACCCTTGCTCCAGTCACTAGTGCCTTCCCTCTTTGGAAATTATTTTGTATTTCTTTTCAATTTATTGCTCTATGCACATTTTTTCCTCTCCCTTCCTGTCCTCCCACATTACCCCTAAAAGAAAGTAATGTCCTTAGGATAAGGGCTCTTTGTTTTATATTGTCTTGGTATTCCTATAGCCTAGAACCTGCCACTTCATTCTGTAATTCCCCAGACGGCCTGAAAAATGTAAAGATTAAGCCTGGTTCGCAGTCATAGGCTACTGGATTAAAAATATTTTGTGCTCTTCAGAAGAATTCTGCGGGCCAGGAGTTCTTAACCTTTTTGTGTGTATCATGGATCCATCTTAGGATATAAATAGATAGATAGATGTGTGTATGTATATGTATGTGTATGTATATATACATATATATACATATATATGTATATATACATATATATGTATATATACATATATACATATATATTATATATATATACATATATATACACACACACATATATATATATATACACACGTATATTAAAAAATTCACAATTGAAGGAAACGCTAAGTTTTAATTAGAAGTTAGTGAAAATAAAGAAAAAAAAGTTTCCCAGTCCAAGTGTATAGACCCTTTAAAATCTGTCCATGGATCCCATGGGGGTTCATAAGCCCCCAAACCCTACTTCCCTTTAAAACACAAGAGGCAGCATGGTACAGTAGAGAGAATATTGGCCTTGGAAGAAGAGCATGTGCCTGTAGACCCACCTCTGGCAATTAGGATTTGTATGAGTTTGGGCAAGTCACTTAGCTTCTCAGGATGTCAGTTTCCTAAAATGGGGGTGGGGTAGGTGGAGCAGGGTAGACTAGCTGATTCTTGAGGTTTTCACTGACAATGTTTTTAGAAAAATCTTAATCCTTCTTTCATATCAATTCATATCAGTTCTGGAACTGCTCCTATTTATCTCTAAATTCATTCCCCCCTCCTTTTAAAATAAAACAACTCACCCAAACTCATTTTTCAAGGAAGGGAAATTCTGAGGGTGCAATGGTGATCTGAGTTTTAGTGTTTCACACTCCCATTTGTTGGAAGAACAGCCAAGTTTATCCATTCATTCAACAAACATTTATCAAGCATCCTTTCTTTCAGTTTAAACATTTATCAAGCAGCTCTTATTGTAGACTTTATGAAGAGAGTATGTGAGTCTGTCATAACTGAGAGGGACCTTAAGATGGCATGTCAGTGCTGGAAGGGACCCTTTGAACTTAAAATGTTAACAGCTAGGAAGATTGGAACATAGAGTGTTAGGACTGTAAAGAATCTTAGAAATTAGAGTATAGATTATTAGAACAAGGTTGCACAGGTGGACAGTGTAAAAACTGTACATTAATCTTAAGGGGTATATGTGTGTGTGTCTTTTCCCCCATATAAACTGTGTTCCTTGAGAGAAGGAGTACCACTATCTGGCTCATTTTTGTGCACCTAAAGCACATAGCACAGTACTGGGCACACAGTCAGTGCTCTACAGATACTTATTGAATGATGTGGAATGAAGGATAGTCAAATTCTAAGTGGATGGAAAGACAGTGAGTGGTTTTGGAGTTCATTGGAAAGAGTTTTCACCAATGGGCTGAGGCTTTTTTGGAGGAGGTTGGACTTGAGCTGGACCTTGAAGGATGAGTAGGATTTGGAGAAATACAGAGGGGAGAAAGGCCTGCCACACAAAGAGAGCAGCACAAGTAAAAGTGCAGAGATGGGAATGGGCTTAGTTTGTTGGGACAGGAGGCATTGATGGAAAGAGCCCTGAATGAGGAGTTTAGATCCCAGGGTTCTTGTCCTAGCTGTGCTATAGATGAGTTGTAAAGATAAAGAATAGTGGAGTAGAAAAAGCACTAGGTCAGGAGTCTGGAAATTTGGATGCAAGTTACAGATTTGTCTTTTATCCTTGGGGTAAGTAACTTCCTCTGTATGGACTTTAGTTTCCTAAGTTATAAAATGAGGGGGTTGGATTAGCTGCTTTCTAAGGTCCTTTTCCCCTCTAACATGCAGTGGATCCTGTGAATTGGTTCATCTCTAAGGTACATTTCAGCACTGAAATTCAATGATTTTATATTTCACTGTAAACTCAGGTGTCTGTAATTGTTGCCCGCAGATCACTCCAATTCCTGGGATGTGCCAGAGGATGTGAGATGGAGGTGCCCCCAGCCAGCTGTTCCACTACACCAGCCACCAGTCAGCCAGTACAGACCCTGTGCCTCCAGGCTTCCCATAGCAAGCAGACATCACCACATCTCACTGGCCCTGTCATCTTGCAACCCGAACAAAGTCTGCCTCCGACAGTGTATCTGAAGGCCCTTACCATCCCACTGTATCACCCAGTCCAGTCTGGATGCTTCCAGCCAAGTCATTCACTGGTAGCCAGTGGTGGCAGCTTCAGCCTGGAGAGCAGCAGCCTGCCCTTAATTTTGAGCCCGTTGCTGCACTCAGAGAGGACAGAAGCGTCTCAGCCATGGAAGCCCCAGAGCCAAACATTGACTGTGAACATCGTGGGTGCTCTACCTGTCCTGCCCTCTGCTGCCACCTGCTCAGGCACAACCTTGGGAAGCCCAGGGAAGAACCGAAATGCAGGAAAGTATCTGTGCCGGCACTGTGGGCGGGACTGCCTGAAGCCCAGTGTCCTCGAGAAGCACATCCGTTCCCACACCGGAGAGAGGCCTTTCCCTTGTACCACTTGTGGCATCGCCTTTAAGACCCAGAGCAATCTGTACAAGCATAGAAGGACTCAGACGCACATTAACAATAGTCGACTGTCATCAGAGTCTGACAGCAGCAGCCTCCTGGAAGATGGTGACAGGCTGGGAGAAACCCTCCCACAGCCCTCCAGAACAGAGCAGAGTGGTGAGGAAAAAGAAGATGTGGGAGAGGAAGATGGGACTTTGGAAATCACTGCCTCTCCCCATACCCAGGGAACTGTGCCAATGGGGCCCTTGGCTTTGAAGTCTTTTCCGTTCAAGAGCCTGGAGATGAAACCTGAGATTCCTCTAGGTCATGGGTCCACTCTTGTAGCCTCAGACAAGGAGGCCCCACTGGAACCTCCACACAGGGCTTCCCCAGGGCTTTTGCCAGCAGGCGTGCCTCAGAGATGGAAGATGCAGGAACAGCGATCTCCAACAGCCAGTAAGCACAGCCAGCTGCAAAGACAGCAAGCAACCTACTCTGAGAAGCATTGGGACTTGAAGGTGTCTGAAAGCAAGCTGAAGAAATGTGAGAGCACTGACTCAGGCTACCTCTCACGGTCTGACAGTGTGGAGCAGCAGGTGCTGTCCGCTAGTCCCCTGCACAGCCTGTCTGAACACAGTGTGGAGTCAGAGAATGACACTCCTCCTGGGCTCCCAAAAGGAGTGGCATCAGCTGGTGCCAAAGTCCATCTTGGGGAAAGAGCAAGCACCCTGATGCTGGAGAAAAAGAAGCTAGAGGAACACATTTCCAAACTCATCTCCCACAATAAGGCTGTGGTGGACGACACCCACCTGGACAACGTCAGGCCCAGGAAGACCATCCTCTCAAAGCAGGGAAGCATCGATCTCCCTATGCCTTATACTTACAAGGACTCCTTCCATTTTGACATCAGATCCCTCAAAACCACCGGGAAGAAGAATATTACATTATGCTCTGTCAAATCCACCTACACTCCCCTTGAAAAATCCAAGCCTCTCTTCTTCCACTCAGTCCCTACTCAATTTTCCACCACCGTGGATTGTGTGCCTGTCACAAGGAGCAATTCCTTGCCATTTGTTGAAGGCACCAGAACCTTCCAGGAGAGGTCGGAGAACCCTTGGACATCTTGCCTCTCAAAGCAGCCCCTAAGTCCTGGTTCCTCGTGTCGTGTGCATGACAACAGTTCTGGTGCTGTACCTAGGTCTGTGGATTGTCCCAGCAGTCACCCTCGGGCCCTGGTCAGACAAGTTGCTGTGGAGGATCTGCCTCTGGGTCATCCCACTGATAACCAGACACCAACAGAAGATCACAATGGTGGGAAAAAACCAAGTGGGGAGGAGACCTCTGTGAGATGCAAGGTGGCAGGAAAGAAATTCAATAAAAAAAAACTGAAGATGTTCTCCCAGGAGAAGTGGCAAATGTATGGGGATGAAACATTTAAGAAAATATACCAGAAAATGAAAACCAGTCAAAGTATCAAGAAGCCAAGGGAAACAAGGCTGTGTGACATGAGAAACTTGGGCTATGACACAAAGGAGGCTGAGGGTGGAGAGGGTGTAGCAGGGCCCGGCAACACCAGGGCTGCTACATGTGGGGGTGTTATTTTGAGCCCCCAGGTCGTGTCTCCATTAGGGGCAAAAGTGACAGAGCCTGACCCTATGGGACCTCAGCAAGCCCAGGCAGTTTCATCGTCTGAGAATCCGAGTAGTTTTGCAGAACTCAAGGAAACATCTCAGCCGATAAGAAGCAGTGCCCATCCTAGAGTGAACAGAGCTGGGTCATCTCCCACCCTTAGCTGTAGCATCCCCTCCAATGTGGTTCATCACATAGGTAACCAGAACCATTTGCCAACTCCAAATGGCAGCGGGGCACTGCTAAGGGAAGCCCCTGCACCATCCCCCCATGCCCTCAATGTTGAGAATAGGACAGCTTTCACTCCCATTTCACAGGATTCTTCCACCTTTATCCTAGATCAGGAAGCCATTCTTCCCAGTGATGGGGAAGACAAGGAGAGGCATCAGTGGGCCCAGATGGTTCTGAGGCTGTGCAGCTGTAGCCCTGGCAAAACCTTGCCAGAGTCAGATAAGCTCCCATCTGAAAGAAAAAAACTGAAGGTGGAGGAACTGAGTAGTAAAAAGAATCGGGTCTTGGAATTGGGAGGGGAGGGGAGTAAAGTGCTAGATTGCTCCTCCCCTGCTAACTCCTCAGAATCTAGGACAGATAAAGCCCAGGAGGGAGAGAGTGGCTTAGACACCAGACCAAGTGAATGCAGCTGGAATACTGAAGGAATCTCAGAGAGAGAGAACAGCAGTGACTATGGTGGTACAGGAGAGGCCATGCCATCTGTCTCAGATGCAGAGAAGGTGTCGTTGGCATCATTTTCTGCTATTCTGGGGCTTGGATTGACAAACAGAAAATACTCCAAACATTCTTCTTTTTGCGACTCTGCAGCTGTAGGAACCAGGAAGAGTCCTGAGCCCCCAGAAGGAAATCATTTTCCTTCTTTAATTACAGCTGTAAATGCAACTTCTGGGCTGACCATTCCTCAGAAAGAAAATGCATTTTCTCCGAAGTATATCCTCCAGTTACCTCAAGAAGAGACTCGAACAGAATTATCAGTTACCACGAGCAAGGAGCAGGAAAATATGTCCCTCAGAGGTGGCAAAAAGGCAAATGAGGTTGAATCTGTGGCTGAGCCTTTCTCTCTCCTCCAGGCAGAATGTTCAGCAGGTGGGTTGGGGTTGCAGCTTAATAGAATGACGTCCGCTATGGCGTTGGCATCTTGTTTGTCTCCCAGACCGGTCTGCTCCACCGACATCCTTGCTGAGCCAGCCAGCGGCAATGAGAGTCCCAAACACACACAGCCAAAAGATGTGGGGGCAGAGACTGGAGACACAGCAGTTGGTAAGGCACAAGCAGCTGAGGAGACAACAGACAGAGCCCCATGCTGCTCCAAACAGGTCCCTGTTTCTTTTGGCTCTGTGTACACAAGTAGCTTTCTCATAGCAACTGACATTAAAAGTGAGGGTCAGCTCTTCCGCCACCTGCATTCAGGGAGTACCACTTTATTGGTGACGTCCACATCTGGAAGCAGAATGTCTTCTTGGGGTACTTCTAAACAGCTGCTTCAGGGCTGGGAGTTGTGTGAGGCTTCCTCCAGTGGCCAGGAGCATCCTCTGGAAGGTTTGGAGGGCTCTCCCAGGTCACTGGAGAATGCCAGCATCTGCCACTCATTTGAAAGCTTTTACTGCCATGCTCTTACTGCTCAGCACCAAGACTCCCCTGCCTGGCCCCAAATCAGCCTGACTTCACACTCAGGGTACTCTCGGAGCTCGGGGGCCAGGGGCTCCTTCCCCTCCCTAAGTGCCGAGCCTCGTCTTACGTGGTGTTGCCTCAGCAGGAGCCTCCCTCTGCCAGCAGAACAGAAGGAGAAGGCTCACTCAGTGTATTCTTCCTTGCACATCTGTGACAATAACTCTGGGGAAGAGGGCACAAGTTCCAGGAGGGACTTTTCCTTTCTCAATGTGAAAAACGACCCAGGCAGTCACGTATGGATTGACAAGTGGAAACCTGAAAACACTGGTATCTTCACTGTCATGGGGGCAGCAGAAACCAAAGGTAACTATCTGGCCATCGCCCCAGTCATAGAATATCAGAGCCTGAAGGGACCTTAAGGGCATCTGGTCCAACCCTCTCATTTTATAAATAGGAAAATTAGGACTGAAATTGGGGAAGTGACTTGTTCAGATTCAAAAATGGTGTTGTTGTTGTTGGAGCAGAGATGAGAAATCCAGGTCTCCAGACACCTAGTTGTTTAGTTAAATTCAGGAAACATTTATGAAGGGCCCACATTGTGTTCTCCAGTGCCTCATCATGGCCTGGAGGCGACCTTGGGTTCTTGAAGGCCATGCCAGCTGAGTGGAAGTTCTGGAAGGCCCTGCCAAGCTAACATACTTGTTAGCTGTCTGTGAGTCTGTCTTCTAAAGTCAGGCCTAGCTGGTGACAAGGTATGAACTTTTTTGGTCACAGTAATTCTTCACCAGAAGAATTTGGTCACAAAGCAATTCTTAGTAAGTTGTGGAGAAGTTGCAATCTGCATAAAGGAGAGAAAAAGGAAGGGAGGGAACAAGCATTTATTAAGCATATAACAGATGCCAACAACTGTGCACTTTCAAAGTAAGTCACTGGATTTTCACAAAAACCATACCAGGGAGGTGCCCTTCATCATACCAGGCCCTGCACTTTATCCACTGCACACCCCATCACCTAGTATGGAGAGCACCCTCATCAGTGAAATGCTGGGTCTACTGAAGAACTGACTTGTGTGTGGTGTTCTTTGCTGGTTGCTGGGTAGAAAAAGATGATGACCCTTTCTCCCTACACCCATTCCTTGCCCTTAAAGAGTTCATAGTTTAGAAAGTGGAGGGATAAGTACACAGATAACCATAATATAAATTATAATGTGGTGAGTGCTTAGGAGAGATTTATAGGATTTTAGATTTCAATCTGAAAAGGACCTTCTAAGCCATCTAAACCGCTCATTTTACAGATGAGAAAACTGAGGCACAGAGCAGTCAAATAACTTCCCAGGGTCACACAGAACTAGCAGAGCTAAGATTCAAACCCAGCTCCCTGGACTCCAAATTCAATGCCCCTTTTCACTAAACCATGCTGTTTAACATGCTGTCCTTACAATCACATCACCTCTCAGGCCAAGGGCATGTTTAGGCACGATTTTTTATATTTATAAATTAGAGACAGGAATAGTGAAGAGGTCCTTTCTAGCTCAAAGGCTGTATCCATGAGAGTAACGTTTCCATGTTGGGAGGGTGCAGCAGAATAGGGAGAGGAGACACAGAATGCTCATGTTCTTTTTTGGTGTGCCAGGCCAGTTTGGGTTCTAAGTTAACGTCATAGAAGGGCTTTTTCACATGGGTGCTAGACCTCATATAGAGAATCTCTACAAGCCAACCTTTTTTTTACCCAGGTCTCAGTCTCCAGGTTTAGCACAGTTTCTTATAACTGCTATCATGTGGTTTAGGAAAGATGAAATTAGGTCTAGTACAGGGGTGGGAACTGGGGCCTTGAGTCTACATGTGGCCTTCTAAGTTTTTGGGTGCGGCCTTTTGACTGAGTCCAAGTTTTATAGAACAAATCCTTTAATTAAGGGAATTCGTTCTGTGAAGTTTGGATTTGGTCAAAGGGCTTCACTTGAGGACATAGAGGTTCACATGTGGCGTTGAGGCCGCAGGTTCCCTGCCCCTCGTCTAAGATACAGAAGTCCAGGGGCAGCTAGGTGGCTCAGTGGATAGAGCACTGGCCCTGAAGTCAGGAGGGCCCAAGTTCAAATCTGACCTCAGACCAAACACTTGACACTTACTAGCTGTGTGACTCTGGGCAAGTCACTTAACCCTAATTGCCTTGAAAAAAAATACAAGAGTCCAGAATTTCTCTATCCTCTCCTCCCCCCCACTACTACACACATATAACTTTTCCTTTACTCTTTTTTATTTTGACTAGGTAGTCAGTGATGGGTTGGTGAGAGAGAGGAATAGGTTGCCAAAAGTTTGAGGAAAGGCCTGGCCTAGTTTCATTATGTCTCTGGTTCATTATCAGAGGTTAAATTTCCACTCTAAAGAACCCGGTTTACAATAGTGGTCTAGGCCAGTGATATCAAACTCAAATAGAAACAGATCCTGATGTCTGCATATTGCCTTAGAAAACCACAAGGTAATATCATTTAGATTGTATTATATTTTATTTTTTAGTTAAACATTTCCCAATTACATTTTAATCTGGTCCAGGCCTTTCTCAGAATTTTACGGGCTGAGAGTTGGACCCTTCTGGTCCACAGGAATTCTATACCAACTAGAGTCATAGTTGCCCATGGAATTCAGGCTACTTTTTGTGTGTGGGTGTACCTTAATTTGTCTAATTGTAAAATGAGTTTGAGCCCATTTATCACTGAAGGGAAAAGAAATGGGATCGGGCTGTGGAGAGCATGTTGACTTAAGCTTCTGATTAAGCTTTTATCACTTGGCTCAGGAGTTCTCCAAGGCTTTGAGCCCTGTGATGACCATACAACTGGTATTTTCAGCTGTCCCGGGCAATAGGTGCAGGGAGAGTGTCTGGTGAAAAGGTTTCAGAGCCAGAGAAGAAGAGAAGAGTGCCCTGTAGGAAGGGGAAGGCACCTACAAATCCTCCTGGTGTGAGCAACAAACAGAAGAGAAAGATCAACCCCAAAAGGTAAGGAAAAAACACTCCTTCCTAATCACTTCCTGCGTCACATTTCCAGGAAACAAATGCAGCTTTGATGAGCTCTAGAGCTCTTAAGACAACCACAACTAGCAGCAGCTGCAATTAAAAAAAAAAGTTATTTACACTGCAAAGAAAGAAGTTATTCCTCAAGAAAGCCTCATGTTTTCATGCTGAATAAAGACTCCACATCTGCCTCTGAAGCTGGCTTCTTTTTCCTTCCTAGTAGGACCCTCGGCCTAGATTTTTTTTCCACATTGTATGATATGAAGACCCCCAACTCAGCTAATAGTCAGTAGATAGTAATTGAATTGAGAGTGTGTGCCATTCCATTTAAGTTTAGAAGAGACCATTCTCGGTTTAGTGCTGCTCATGTCACACTCCTGCTGAAAAGTCATTCGTAGCTCTCGATTGCTTATAGGGTAAAGTCCAGACACCTTAACCTAGCATTCAAAGCCTTTCATAGTCTGACTCCAACATGGCTTTTGGGTGCTGTCTTCCACTGTTTCCCTACATGAATCCTCTGCTCTGGTCAAAATTACCTGCTTGCCTTCCTTGTCAGAAGAACTTTTGGCTACTTTTACTCATGCTGTCCTTTTGAATTTGAATGTTCTTCCTTTCCTCTTTCTCCTCTTTAAAGTTCCTACCTATTTTTCAAAGCCTAGTTCAAATCCCATCTTTTCCATGAAATGTTCTCTAGTCAGTCCAGCCTTCTCTATTGTATTTGCTACATTTTGGTTATATGACTGTTTTGGGTCTCACATTTTTTCCCCTAAATAATTTTAGATTTCTGGAAATCAGAGACCTTGCTTTATTTAATTCAACAAATATATATATTAATCGCCTACAGTATGGAGAACAATGAACTAGGGTTAGATTTGAGATTTAGAGAAGATACGATCCCTACTCAGAACAGAGTTTAAATAGTGGATATGAAGCATACACAAAGAGCCACTGTCAAAATAATACAGGCTAAGTTTGTTAGATTGGTGCAAGCAAAATTCAAAATGAAGTCAGAGGTGAAAAAGATCATTACTGGAAAAGGGGGATGCAGTCAGGGTAGGCTTTCTGGAGGAGGTAGTGCTAGAATTGGACTTTAAAGGCTGGGTAAAAATTCAACAGAGCGTCAGAACTAAGCATTCCAGGTACAGAAAAAAGTAGGAGTAAATAAAGGACCATGGTCATACATCTCTTTGAATGCCCCACAGTGCTTAGTACAATGGTGTGCTGGCAAATGTTTAACAATCAGCTTTCTGAAAATTCAGGAAATACTTTTAAGTTTGATCTGCATTATGAACATCACTTTCATAAGTCTAGGCAATCAATAAAACAGTAAATCAAGCCCTGGTTTGTAGCTTATCGTATCTGACATGTAAATGCTCACACCAAAATTTTAACAGTAGGCTCTCCTGAGCCAGTAAGAGCCGGCTCCAGCACATCCCTGGTTTTATATACAGTAAGTAGATGCTCATATATATTGAATGAATGGTTATCCAAGGGAAATTAAGAGCTAGAACTTTTTTTTTCAATCAATCAACAGCTTAAGCGCTTATCATGTGCCAGGCACTGTACTAAATGGTAGAGATATAAAGAGAAGCAAAAACAGTTCAGAATGTAATAGGAGCTTACATTGTAATGGGGTGAGATAGCATATAGATAAATAGATACCTATTTATACAGATTTATACGGAGTAGATGAAAGGAAACCTTAGAGGGGTCTTGAGTCTGAGTTTCAACTTCTATTAAATTATATACTTTATAGGGATAAGGATAAGGGATTGGACCTGGGATTTCAATAGTATAGGCTTCCTGATAAAGAAATTTTCTCTGCTAATGAAATTTTCATCCACTCTGCAACTTAAAGACTTAGACAGTTTCCTGGTATAGTGAAGGGTTAGCTAAACAACTTGTGTCATGAAGCCATTATATGACAGTGGTGGGATTTGAATGATGGTCTTCTTGGATTTGAAGCCAGCTGTCTAGCTATCATGCCATGCTGCCTATAAATTCTGCTTCACAGTATTTTATTCGCTTTTGATATATTTTATTTTTCCCCACCAGTCATTTCCTAACAAACACTCCCCCCCCATAATTTTCCATTAAAAAACAAAACAGGTAAGCAAACTACCGTTTGAATGATAGAAAATGATAGTACAAGTTGCTTTCATTTTTACAGTATGCTATGTTTATTTATACAATGGATGTGTACCTTGATTTTAACAAATTGAACCAAACATTGCCTATTTTATTTGACTTGAGTTCTATCGCTTTTTAGGGTTTTCTTCATTTACATTGTTGTATTGTGTATATTGTACTCTGGGTTCTGCCTTCTTCATTCTGTTCATGTAGGTCTTCTCATATTTCTCTGAAGAATTCATATTTTCTTATGGCACATCAGTTCTATTGCATTCATAAATATAATTTGTTCAGCCATTCTCTAATTGGTGGACATATAGTTTGCTTCTGCCTTTTTTTCTGTTCAAAATAATGTTGCTATGAATATTTTAGTACATATAGTTCCTTTCTTATCTGTCATTGATTTCCTTGGGGGGTAGACCCAGCTTTAGGATTCCTAGATAAAGGGTAATAATATTTCTTGCATAATTGCAAATTGGTTTCCAGAGTGATGGGGTTCAATCACAGAACTTCCATCAGTGAACATGTCTGACATGTTCTCCCTTTTCACCTCTGCCTGTTGGAAACCTTAGGTCCCTTTAAGACTCAGCTGAAGTGACATCTCCTAAAGGAAGTCTTTCTTGATTCCCTAATTGCTAGTTCACTCCCCTCTGAAATTAGTTTATATATTATCTTTTATTTTCTTAGCTGGGTACATCATATTTTTCTCCAGTAGAATATAAATTTCTTGAGTGCAAGAACTATTTTGTTCTTCTCTTATGTCCCCCAGCCTTTAGCCCTATATTTGGCTAGTAGCAGGTGCTTAACAAATGCTGATTGAGTTGCAGTGCCTGTCTTTGCACAGCCTCACCAGCACTGCCAATTTGATGGGTGTGTGGTAATGCCTTAGAGTTGCCTTAATTTAAAAATTACTTACTATTAACAATTTTGACTGATTTTCTGATGCTGTTGGTAGTTTGTATTTCTTCATTTGAAAATTGTTCTTAAAAAAATTGTTCTTATTCTTTTACCATTTGTCTATTGGGAAATGTGAACCAGAACATTTAAGGCACAAGTCAAGGTAGGGTCTATGGAAAGTGAGAAGTCTAGGCTGTTCTTATTAATTTTAGGTACTCTTTGCAAGACCATGAGTATTGAGGCAATAAAGTGGATTTATAATTTCTTAAGTGGTAGGACTACTTAAAGAAGTTTGATTTTAAACCCTAGTTCTTTAAGCCATTGTAAGAAATATAAAAAAATAGAAAATGGAACTGTGAGTCCTAAAGTTAGCTATAAAGAACTTCACAGTACCCAATATGCCCTGGCCCTATTTTAATCCCTTTCTTTCCAAAAGTTTTCAGTGACAGTTATTAAAGTCTAGAATATAAATCCGTTTTCATCAGTTAGCCAATAAGAAAATCAAATATATTTTACAGAAATTTATTTTGAAAGCTGTATTGGATATAGCTACATATATATGTATATACTCATATATACATGTATATTAAGGCAAGGGATATTGAAACAGTTTTGTTAGCATATTTTCTGACTCATGTGACCTTTTTTTAAAATTCTGGTTTATCAGGTACTTTAGTATTTTACAGGAAGTGTCATTTCAATTCAGGATCTCCTTGCACTGGCTCAAGCCCACATAGTCTGGTAAACTCATATAGGAGTGAAATTAAGATTTTAGGGCTCATTTCTTAGAACTCTTTGTAGGGAAAGACATAGTAAAGAAAATAAAAACACAAACCTTAACTAAAGTTCTCCTCCAGTGTGCCATCTTGGTATAGAGCTGCTACTGGGCTCTTGAAGGCTATGCCAGCAGAGCTTTGCAATGTTGTACGAAGCTGGGAAAGCTTTTAAGTAGGATCCCAGGGATGAGCCATATGTCTGTGGCTAAATTTGGCAAGGCTCATCTTCAGAAGTTTGGTCACTGGCTGATTAGTTTCCTGTTGTCATGAAGATGGCCATGGTGTCCTTCCTCTAATATATGTATTTACTTGAACAGAATCTTTTAAAGCATCAAAGCCAGTAAATACGGTAATGCATATGTCTCTTCCTAGCAGCATAGTGGAGTGGAAAGAACAGTAGACCAATTCAGGAGACCTGGGTTCAAATCCTACTCTAATACTGACTAGCACTAGTGTGATTGGCAAATTGATTTTATTTTTCTAAGGTATTTTCTTCAACTGAAAAATGGAAATAGTAATTCTTGCACTACCTACATCACAGGATTGTTGTGAGGAAAGTACTTTGTAAACCTTAAAGTGCTGTAGAAATGTGATTTATTATTAAAGCACACCTATTTTGAATGGTTATCAAACAAGTTGTTCATCTCAAAAGAAATACTGAACCATGTAAATGATAAATTTTTAAGTGTGCATATCCTTAAAGAAAGGAGCACAAGACTTGTTCTGAGGTTCTTTTGACAAATAGAATAATGACATTGGAAATGCAAAGTTCAATTGAAATTAGAAATGCATTTTGTAAATAAATAAAACCTTCATTATTCATTGAGGGAGAAGATGAAAGAAGAAACTTTTGGCAGCTAGGTGATATGGTGCATAAAGTGCTTGACTTGGAGTCAGAAAGACTTGAGTTCAAATCCTGCTTTAGACACTAGCCATATGACCCTATTTAAGTCACTAAACCTCCCAGCCACAATTTCCTTACCTGTGAAATGGGGATAATAATGACACCTACCTCACAGGACTGTTTTGAGAGTCAAGTAAAATGACATATTTAAAATAATTTGCAAATTTTAAGTGCCATGTAAATATTAGCTCTTCATGGTCCTGTGCAAAATAGATGTGATTCTATTAATAGACAGTGGGATTTGTTTAAAACTCAGTTATGTGTTGGAAGTATGTGACTGTTCATTCCAATTGTTCATGTCCTTTATTCCTGCAGTGGAAATGCCTTCAGGGATAACAGCACAACCTTGGGGATGAGTACCAGCATTCAGGTACAAACCCACAAAAGGGGCACAGTAAATATTGTTCTAATAGACATCACCATCATACCACGATGCTTGGGTGGGACCCTTTTGATGATTCTACAGCCCTGTGTTGTAGTAGACAATACCACTAAAGGAAATCCTAAGCATAGTCATGCCACATCACTGTGCCTTAGTCTCCTCTTCTTTAAGATGAGGGGATTAAGTGACCCTGGGCAAATCACTTAACCCCACTTCCTAAAAATTGAAAAAAAAAAGATGAGGGGGTTGGGCTGGATGCCCTCTGTGATCCCTGGCCAGCCAAAAGACACCAGGATTTTAGACACTTAAAGTTCTGGGGGTCTCTACTCTCTATCCTTTTTCTTCTCCTTTTATGGTTCACAATGGGAAGAAAGAAGGGTAGGAAGGACCACTTAAGGGAGTCCATTTAAATATGACTCAGAATTTTACCCTGTTCTCTGAAGTTAATAATACATAATGATCAAATTTTATAGTCTTGTTCATAGATATGAGTGCTTACCAAATACCTCTTGCATTATAGTGGAGAAAGATTTAATAAGGTGATCCCTTTCTACTAGACTGGCTATTTTATTAGTAACAAAGGCAAAGGGAAGCATTTTAGAACTTTTTTTTTCTTTTGCAGGCCCCAAATTTAAACAGAGGATCTATTCCCATCTTAATTTCACACAATCTCTTAATCAGTAAATATCTATTAAACACATTATATGGTAGTGCTAGGTGCTATGGTGGGGAATAGATAGTGTGGTATGGTGGAAGAGTGCTGGATTTGGAATCAGGAAGACATGGTTTGAATACAGGCTCTCACACTTAATAGCTATGTGACCTTGGGCAAATCTCTTAACTTCTTTGAGCCTCATTTTCCTCATCTGCAATACAGAGATAATGATCTTTGTCTTAGAATTGATGTAAAGTGCTATAAAAGTGTGAATTTTTATTGAGGAGTTTGGAATCAAGTTGCCTAGTAGAGGTCCTTTGGGGATCTACTTTAATGAACAAATAATAGTTATTTGTAATTAACACATTCATTATTTGTGTCCTCAGTGCTTAAAAACAACTCATTTCTTAACCAATGTACATATTTTCCTTGTCATCTTATTTACATTGTTACTGTTAACGGCTAAACCTTTCCTTTGTAGATAAATTGAAAGCAAACTAACCTAGCTCTAGGATGAACGATCACAGATTCTAAATCATTGGGGTTAGAATCAATATAGATTTAATCATAGCAGGTTGCTTTTTTGTTTGTTTGTTTGGTCATTTATCTTTATTACATGAGGGATAGCTGTTAAAGGAGACTTTTTTTTTAATCAAGTAAAACAATACCACAGCTTCCAGCTGTGTGGGTCTTAGCCCCTGCAAGGTCCTTGTACCTTCTTCTTGGAATGAGAGCAAAGGTGACCCAAAGCACACATAAAGAGAATTCTTTCCTTGTAGACACACCTTCCTGATTAGGCCACTCTCTGTACTTTGAAATCTTTTTGCTGTCTGGGTCCCAGCAGGAACCTGGACTTCCTCAGTGGTTTATGATTAGTGAGCCAGCAGGCACACATGAAGTGGCCTTGCTTCTCCACAGCCAGATCTTAGTAGGCTCTCTGAGAAACCTGTGAGCTTAGGGAGCAGGGGCCATTACTTCAAAGGGCTGCGCAGGCCCTACCACAGGGAATCACAGTTCTCAAGCAGCTTAATTGCATCAATGACTGAAGCGTAATGAGAGCCACTGGCAAACCTCCATACTGCAAAGAGGAACCATAAGTTATAGAGCTTAGATCTGGAAAGGACTTAGAGATTACTGAGTCCACTTGGCATCCTTCACTTCCTCTATTTTCAGGCTTGTAAAATTTGAACTGGAGAAAACTATGAGCAAAAGTACTACAAACACACTGAGTAATGATTAAAGGTACATGACTTGATTTTAACTTAATAGCCCAACTTGCCAACAGGAGGACCTAACTTTACTAGATTGCTGCTATGTTCCTGAAAGGTTGCAAGTAAAGGATTTTTAAAAAATAAACTAAATTCTCTTTTCCCTTTGACTTGTATTATAATTTCAGATATAAAACCATTTTATTGGTGTGATCTTCCTGTGGTAGTATCCCTAATACAGTCTGGCAAAGTACAAAAAATCCTTGACCTGGAGAACAAGAGACCTGGATTTACCTCTAGTCCAGGATTTACCTCTAACTTGATGTGTGATCTTGGGCAAATCATTTCTCTCTGGACCTTGGTTTCCTTATTTGCAAAATAGGAATGGATTCTGAGGGTTCCCTCAATCTCTGACTTTCTATTATTCTAATTTCTCTAAGTGAACATTGCTTACGTTATATCTAAGTAAACAAACTAAACAATTAAATGTACCAGAGACTTGTTCTTTATTTTTTGTTTTTTTTTGCTAGGCAATGGGGTTAAGTGACTTGCTCAGGGTCACACAGCTAGTAAGCATCAAGTGGCTAAGGCAGGATTTGAACTCAGGCCTTCCTGACTCCAGGGCCAGTGCTTTATCCACTGTGCCACCTAGCTGCCCCATGATTTGCTCTTTAAAAGGACCCTATAGTAATATTAATGTAATCCTCACCACCTAGTTTTTTGAGTTTTGTAATCTCATATTTGTGAATTTTATTTGATTAAAGCAGGACATGGATATCCATTCCCAAAGCTGGTAAATTACATGGATTCTAAATGAGAATGCTTTCTTTTTCCTACAGGTATAAACGAGGTCATCTACAAGGATGTGTTCATCTAAAAGCGAGCCGATTTTGGAAGCAACGTTGGAAACTGAGAAAGCAGCACTTTCCTCCTACACAGGATGGCCTTGAAAAATGCAAGACTTGTCAGTCTCCTTCACCAGACCAAACAGGTAATGGGCTTCTTGGAGAAATACAGTTCAGTAGCAAGAGTATTTGAATGGGAGTCAAGAGACCTGAGCCTTGTCCTAGATCCACCAGTGGCAGTAGGCATGTGGATTAAGCTCTATGGCCCTAAGGTCCCCAGTATGTAGAATCAGAATAATAGTGCTTTACATGGCTTTTGGGAAGCTGAAATCAAATAGTGTATCTTAATTCATCTTGGTAGTCCAAGCACTAGCATAGGGCCTTCCATATGGTATCTGCTAAATAAATATTTATTGAATTGAATTGATTTGTTAGCAGATGCTAAAACATTTTGTAAGTCAAGGACCAAAGAAATCCCAGTGATGATAATATGTGTTTCGAACACAATAGCCACTTGATAGATTTTTTTTTTCTGAATTGAACTGGATTGAATTACATTTGAGAGATGTAGAAACTCTGTTCATTCTTGCTATTATTTTGTGAATAAACAGGTCCTCAGTTCCTTTCTTTCTGTGAATAAACAGGTCCTTTCTTTCACCTTTTCTCCCTGTCCACCCCTTCTGGGTACTTAGTAACTTCTGTACTCTCTGCTTATCTCCCACTAACAATACTTGCTCTTAGGGAAGGCTCTGATATCTAACATATTAGTCACATCTTAATGTAAATGGCAGTCCCAGGAGAATTCACATGGAAAACCTCATCTGTAATGTGGAATGAAAGACTGTCCCTGTGAGAGGATTTTCACACATCAGCCAGCAGAGAGGGGCGTGTGTGTGTGTGTGTGTGTGTGTGTGTGTGTGTGTGTGTGTGTGTGTGTCTTCTTATGACTACTGACATCCCACCCCACTGGTCATATGCATATTGGTCATATGCCTCTGCATGTCTGACTATATCTTTCATTGGTAAACATAGTTATCTCTTTCTTCTTTGAACAACTGAATTTTAGAGTTGAAAGGACCTCAAACATCTTAGTGTAAACAGTCCATACATGAGCAGGAATTCCCTCTTCAACATCCCCAAGAAATGGTCCTCCAACATCTCATCAAAATGATACAGAATTTAGGACCTCCACTTCTGGACCCCTCTGACCACCAGGCTTTCCCCTTAATCTGTGTCCTCATTAAACCCTACTGGCTGAGCTGTCCATCTGTACGTGTCTGATTGATACCCCATACAGAGTTCATCCTTTGGCCAAAGGTGTAGTCTGAGACTCAGCCATGATAACAGACATGTCCCCCCTCTTGCCGACAGGCAGAGGGCAGCACAGTGTTCCCTTTTTTGAGAGCTGGCTTTCCCTCAGCCTTTGGGGGAGAGCTTTGATGTTCTCCCAGACAGCTGTGTTCTCCCAGACTCTTTGTCCTCCCTGTCAGCAGAAAGTGCCAAGGAACACAGAATTCTATCATGTGCAAATCCCAAATGAGAAGAAAGAGCACTGGATTTAGAAAGGGAAATCCCCAGGTTCAAATCTAGCTCTGCTGTTTACTACCTGCATGACCTTGGGCAGTCCTTTCCACTTCAGTTTCTTTCTCTCTCAAAATGGGGGATTGGGCTAGAATGCTAACTGGTTTCTGTGGCCCTCTCCAGCTCTAAAGCATGTGGTCTTAATGAAGAACCTTCTCTTTCCTGCCCCAACTTGAGACCAAATCAAAGCTCACTGCTTCCCTCCTGGCTTCTTCTAAGCTATTTGTGAGATGGAATGAAGCCTGAGGGTTTAATAGTCACTGGCTGATGGAGCTTTTCTACCTTGAGCAAACAAGACCTTGTGGGTTCTCTTTTGTGACTTTCCCCTCTTAGGAAATACTCAATTCTGTGGGATCAGGGGTTCCAGGATTTAGAGGAGTAAGAGACTTGAGAAATAATCCAGTTCATACCCCTCTTTTATGGATGAGAAGATTGAAGCCTGAAGGAGGGAAGTTACTTGCCCAAGGTCACACAGATAGATAGATGGCGACAGAAGGAGGATTGTTAGGTTCTTAGACTCCAATTCTAGGGCTTCTCCCATTGTGCTCTACTTCCTTCTCCCATATAAAAGCCCATTTCATACTGGGAATCCAGGAGATACATATTCCAGTTTAAGCTCTAACATTAATTTGTTCTGTGATGTTAAGCAAGTAATTTCCTTTTTTTTTTGTGGGGTAGAGGTGGAAGAGGAGCTCAGTTTCTCTCTGTAAATTGAAGGAGTTTGGTGAGATGACCTTTACAGGTAAATTCCAGTTTGAACATTCTAGAATTTTATATCAGTGTAGGAAATCCAGTGATTTTGTGGCTGTTGGGAATGACTAATACAGGAATGGTCAAACTGTCAGTAGATATTAGTGAACACCTATCCACTATATGCAAATAATTGTGTGAAATAAGAGACAATGCTAGTAAGATGAAAGCTAATCGAGGGCAGGGACTATTTTCATCTTCTTTACCTCAGAATCTAGCACAATGCCTTGCAGTTAGTAGGCATTTAATGTTTGTTGAATTGAATGTTTCTTAATATTTAATTGAGGAAGTAAGGCATAGCCCTGAAAAGATAAAAAGAAATGAAGCCAGTATATGCTGAAGTGCCAAATGAGGAGCAGACACTGTAAGTGCCATAGGCATTTAGAGGGAGAATAAAGATGGCTGTAGGCTGAAATGTTTAAAGAAGCCTTCTTAAAAGAGGTGAAACTTGAGCTAGGCCTCAAAGAATGGGTAGAATTTAGATAGAGGAAGAAGAGTGGATGTTCCAAATAGGGAATAGTTAATGTGAATAAAGGTGTGGAGGTGGAAATGATCAAGATTTGTCTGGGAGAAAGTATGTTGTCTGATAGTATGAAGGGGTTTCTGTAGGGAGTACTGGGAGATAAGGCTGAAAAGAATAGATGATCCTAGGTTTTTGAGGGTCTCAGGTGACAGGTTAAGAGGTTTGGAACTTTTCCTAAAGGCAACAGGGAGACACTTAAGTTTCTGAGTAGATGAGTCATGTTACAAGGAGTATTTTGGGAATATTGATCTGACAGCATTTTACAGGCTGGGAGAGGATGGATTTGGGGTGACCCATTTGGAATTGCACAAACCTGCCACTGGTTATTCCTTCTAGTCCTTTTTTAAAAATGTAACTTGTTTTTTTATTCCAAAAAGTTGCCCACCCATCTGTGTGAGCTATTAAGGGATACCCTACTCCCCTTTCAGAGAGGAAGGAGAAATATTGGATTCCATACCCTCTTATCTTCAACCTTATCATTGTCTTGCTTTAGTACGGGCAGACTGATGTGTAAATGAAAGTCAAAAGGAAAACTCAGACTTCCATTGAATGTCGTCCTATCACATAAAAGAATAGGATATAACTAGAATCATTCACAATAAATATGGAACAAGTTAGACAGTGTTCATATTGTAAGTTTGGGATGTGTTTCAGCATCTCTGCTGCCCAGGAAAATATCAATTGAACAGTCAGTCAGTCAACAAACATTAATGTATCAGCCTAGGTAATCCTTGGGCTTTCATGTTTGTTATTCTAGTGATTCTTCAAAGTTAACTCAGAGATATGGCTCCCTGGTCTCTACCCTTCCTACCCCTCCTTAACAATAAGGAAGAGCCTGCAGAGTTTCCACCGAAGGGCAGGTGCAAAACTGCTTGATCTGCTTTAAGCATTGGCCCAGTAAGTATTAATCATAGGTTATTCCATCCTGATGTGTCAGGGCAGGGGCAGGGAAAATTGCTGGGGTAAAGGACTCTGTTGGGGGGTGGGGGTGGGCAGGGTGGTGCTGAGAGACACACTGGAGAGTCAGCAGGTCAGAAGTTACAGGCCATAATGGAAACAGCCCAGGCGGAAGGTGAAAGATTACATTAAGATAAATACAGAAGGAAAATCAAAGGGGAAAGAGGACTTTATTTCTCTTACATAGTAGTAGCCAACATCAATATTTCACAGCTGTGTGACAGGCACTGGGAGAGCGTTGTGTGTTTGAAGACGAAGTGCTATAACTTCAAAGTAACTTTAAAGATGAGCTTTGGTTCCCCCCAACATTTACAAACAACTTTCTTTAGAAGCCTTTGACCCAGTAGTCCTGAATGGATGAGAACAGTCATTGACTCAGCTATTGAGTTTTCCTAAACAGTGACTGACAAGGGACATGATAACTATGACAGAAGGCTGATGGTTGGGGAAAGGTTTGTGTTTTGGGTGGTCTGAGGGGCCATAAATAGGAGAAACAAGATGATATTTAGCCAAGGAAAATTTAGGCTGGACATTGGGAAAGGTTTTCTCTCATGATCTATTAGCCTTAAAAACAACAACGTGGCTCTCCACCTCCTTGTTGCCTTTCCCCCAACCCAGGAAATAGGGAAGTCTCCTGTCCAAATCCATGTAATAAACTTAGACTCAGAAAATCTTCTGCAAATATACAGCCAGGAACTGCCCTGAACAATGAGCAAAATGGCCCCATCACTACCTTTGAAGCATCTTCTTATTTATTTATCAGGAAAAAGAGAGATTTGTGGGAAAATATCCTTTTCTTTCCTCCAAACTACTCAGATAGTTGGTAATAATAATTTGAATTAACAGATGGTTTGACAGTGAAGTCATCTGCAAGCATAAGGACAGAGGAGTTATGGAGGATAAAGACCATATTTACTCAGACTTTGGGTTGACAGAAGACTTTGAGGCTGTCCTGAGAAAGAAGAGACTGTATCCTGAAATCTAAATCCTATCATCAGTTCAAACCAAGAGACAAGCTGGAGCAAGTGGGAAGCTAGTTTTCTTTGGATGTATGTGGGAGTAGGATTTCAATCAGACCAGACTCAAGGGATCTCAGGAGAGGATAGAAGGTATATATGCCAGGGACATGGGCTTAGCATTTGGGCCACTTAAGCAATTCCCTCTGGGTCCAGACTTTCCCTCCTTATAGGAGCAGCAGAAAAACTCTTGTTTATCCTTAGTTTTCCATGAATATTCAGTAGACAATCCAGTTCAATACAACAAACATTTATTAAGCACCTACTGTGTGTAGGGCACTGTTCTGGAGCTGTGGGGTATGGACCAAGAATAGGAGAA